TAGTGTTCATAGGTTGAAAAGTTGGTCCAAAAGTGGTAGGTTGGAGGTCTGTGCTCAGTGGTAAACCACTATTTGAAGGTTGTGTAAGGCCCAGAGATCCCATCTTGGATATGGAGCTCTTCAATTCAAACATCTATGTATTCAACTTCTCCATCCCTTTCATAACTTTTCCCAAGCCATGATCTTTACTTGGGTCATTGAGTAAGATGTTGAATTTATCAAGGACAAATTGGTTTTCATTCAATAGTTGCTTGAGACGTGGTTTAGTTTGAAGCGACTAGAATTCTTGAGGTTGAATTCCACTGGCTTCATTGAGACGCTCAACTATATCCACCAATTTAGTAATTTGTCTTTTCATTTCTTGAAGATCATGCCCAAACTTTTCTTGATTGTGCTCTAGTGCATTTATCCTTGCTTCCAATTGATGCCCCATATCCTTCAACCCCTTTAACTCAAATCAAATAAATTAGAAAAGAAATTTTAAAATTTCATTAAAAATTTTCTAAATGTTTTCCATGAAAGTATATTTGTTCTCTTTCCTTCGAACTTAATAACATTATATGATTCTTTATTATTGGATGAAATATGGCAAGAAATAAACAATAGATGAATATATGCATATGGATGCAAATATGTCATGTGCATGAATGCATGAAATGCAATGATGCCTTAATGTATAGATGAAGTGATATGCAATTAAGTGGACTTAAAATGTAAGAAAATTGAAACATTGTACATGCAATGTGAGTACAATAAAAACGATATTATTAAAAATCATGTAAAGTGAGAAGTGAAAAATTTATTCAACACTAAAATCCTTCTTTTTGTTTGAAAAGAATGAAAGAAATGAAAGACCCTTTTTATTTCTCTTTTTATTTCTATCTAAATGGAAGATCTTTCTCTTCTTTTTATTTCTTATCTTTTTTCCACGAGAAAAAAGAATTGAGAGAAATAAAATTTTTTATTATTTATTTTTTTATTTTCATAACTTTTCAAAGGATAAAAGAAATAAAAGAAAAGACTTTTTTGTTCATCAAAATAAAAAGAGTGGGGAGTGTTCCTTCATGTGTTCTTAATTAAGGATACATTCTCACGGGTAAAACTCTACTTAGGAATAGGCTGCTCATAGTATTCTATATGCTAAGTTTGGGTTTAAACGGAGTTAACGGTTCCTAAATTACTCCTCAATGTCATCCACTTGGACTAGTAAGGCACCCTTGTCCTCACTAATTACAAGCTTCAAGCATACTAGGTTCAACTTGAGTAGGAGTTTTCACTAGCCCATGTGGAGATTATCATCGCATGAAAGTGTAGCTATTAAACCCCCTCCTAATAAGGATAGAGCCCAAGTAGAAGGCTCATGCATGAATGCAAATTATGTTGTGTGTGGGAAGGAATAAATCGACCTTTAACCATTCATCACATGTCCCTTTATCCCAAAATCCCCGAACTTACCAAAAACAATAAAATAACAACAATGAAACAATAAATGCACTAAACAATATAAGGAAGGAGGGGTTCATGTCCTTGCATTATGAATAAACTTGATGCCTTTGCTATTCAAAAAAAAATGCACTAAACAATAATGCATAAAATAAATGCTTGAGATTAAAAGAAACACTAAATTATTTAAGGCTTAAGATAACATATGATTAATTAATGGCTCGATTCTCCAGGTCCCTAATGGAGTCGCCATCTATCGTAACGTGTGGGTCCAAGAACCAAACCCCTAGTAGTGAAAAATTTTAGAGTTGCCATCAATCTTTTTTGTCTAGATGTGATTGGCCACCTGTTAAGTTCATTCTATTTGACGGAGTCTTAAATTGATTTTAGGTTTGTTTAAAGAACAATGAACTGGTCTACGAATTTTTAAAGTTGAGTTTGGGAGTATGGTTACGTGCGGGGAAGGATTAATATCCTCATGATGCCTGTTCCATGAATGGTACCATTTAATCATATGTTATCCTATTATAGCCTAAATTCTTAAATTTATTTCATTGTGTTTCCTTAATTATCATTTACTTATTTTATTAAATTAGGTTACAACTTATTATTGCATTGTGCAAATGACGAAATCGTGAAATGCATGGTATAAAATCTAGATAGTACCAAACAAAAACCTTTTATTGAGGATATTTATCGAATTCACCCATCATACTGGTGGGATCCAAGGATATTCTCTCACTTAGGAAAATACTTAGGAAACTTGCCTTTGCAAGCTTAATGAGTAAATCACATCATCAGGATAGTCGTTCATATTTGAAAATAATATTTTTCATGAAGGCAGAACCTAATACGAGCAGAAGCCTTTTATTAATGATGTCCTTCGAGCCCTCCCATCATACTGGTGGGACTCAAAGATATCCTTTCACTTAGAGAATTTTTTGAAGCAGTAACATTGTTTGCATTTTGTTTTCTAATAGTTGAACAGCTATTTTTAGAAGTCAACTATGCTTGATCTGTACGCATTAAAAAGCTAGAAAAAAAGTGCAGAACATGCAATGTTCCAAGGTACATTGATCTCTAAACATAGACTTGTGTGAGAACAATTTCAAATTTCATTTCAACCATGTTTGGGACATCATTTTGGACATGTAGGATCAAAGATTCTTCAAGAAAAACATGCAAACTCAAATTTTGGCTTTCATTGCTCATTGTTCATAAGTGCTAAAACATTGAAATGCTTATTTGAAGAATCATGTCTTTAATATCCTCAAGTATGTTCAATTCTCATCATAATGTGTGAATGACTTATAAAATGTACAACAAGCATTTTAAACAACATTTAAGCATAGTAAGCATCAGATTTAACATTTTCAACATATAGACCAAAATGCTCTTGAGGTCATTCAATCATTCATTTGCAATAAGGACAAGTTATAATAGCATTTTCAAGATAAGGCACACATGTTTAAGTTTTATATCATTGAAATCATTGAAGCCTCCAGCATTACAAGAAGATTTGTTAATTTACTTAAAATATCATCAATGTCAAATTATCATACTAATGATTATACTCAAGAAAACTCTTTCAATCTATTTCATAAAGCATGAAAGAACTATAAAGCAAAATTGGATTTATGCAATTCATGTATCAAATTAATTTTGCTCAACCATGCTATATCATCAAAAACAATAAATCAATTTCAATCAAAGAGAATAAAAAGATTTGGCAAGAAAATCAATTGATAAAGATGTAATTTTTATTTACAAACTTTTCAACTTGAAACATTCAAGATTAGACATGCTTTATGAAAAATTATGAGCTCAATATCACTCAATATTGTTCAATTATGCTTTAAATGATTTACGAAATGTGTAATGAGCATAATGAATCATGTTTATGCATGTCAAGGGTCATTTTCAAATATCTTGCAATCATGTGCCAATAATACCCTTATGATTATTGAAGCTTACAAGCAAGCATGCACATCTAATAAGAACAAGTCAATAAGTTTTTTCATCATGAAACAAACTTGTTTAATTCATAAATCATTCTAAACTTAGAGGATGGCAACAAGTTTCTCATTTAAGCTCATCTTAATTATGCACTTAATATTCAACCAAGAATAGGCCACTAAAATTTTCAATTAAGAAAAACAAACAATTTTAGAAACCAAGCTAAATCAATGAAACATTCAATAAATAAGCAATCAAATTTCTCATTTAAACAAACAAAAGGCTTTTAGCATAGAGATCACCCATTTTCGTTTATGTGTGACTAGGGAGCATTCATTCTCTAAGAATTGTTCCTCCTTGCTTTGGCACACCTACAAGAGTAATTTTTTATTTGATCTTTGGTATTCAAATTGCTTTGGATCTTTGAAAGTTAGTCTCACCACACAAAGTTCCTTTTGGAACCCACACTTGTCTAAATTTATAAGATAAACATTTTCTAATTGGACAAATGTATGGACAATAACTATGAAATGTGTAATGATTGCATTTGGTTAGTTTGGATGATGAGGAATTCATAAAAACTTTAATTTTCATTTAACAAATCTTAAAATTTCTTTTTCACATCAAAATTTCCTTTCTCTAGAATTTTAATTTTATTTTGGTAAGCTTCAAAATCTCTTTTCAAATTATCATTTTCTTTTTCCAAATCAATTTTTGTTTTCAACAAAAATTCATTTTCAACATTAAGTATGGCAATGACTTTCTTGTGCTTCAAATTCATTTTCTCAAACAAAAATGCTAAATCCTCAAAAGCATCATACAATTCATCAAAAGTATATGAACTAAGTTCACAAGATGAAGAGGTTACCTTTAGCTCTTCAAGAGCCATGAGGCA